ATGCTTGCAAGAGCACTGCATTCAGTCATAGTAATTTTCCATCCTGGCAGCAATTTGAGTCCCTAACTTCCTTCGAAAGCTCAATAATAAAAATGTTGTTCCACTTGGGTCATTATTCAGGCAAGAAATCTAAGTTATGAAAGCTGTTGGTTAAAAAATAGGAGCTCATTAGACAGCACTAGTTCCTTGGAGCTGACGGTTTCTGAGAGGCTCAAGAGGAGATTAGTCCAGGAGCTATTTGTCAAGGCCTAATGAGCATTTCTGAAATCTTAGTGTGGGACAAGGAAAGGATGGGGGGGAATGCACCATCACAGCCATCAATTGTCCTTTCTGTCATAACAGAAACAGGGAACCTAGCAGAACATGGACATAATGTCAGTAATGCAAAAATACATTAAAGAAAAAGACCTCAAGGTTCAACTTCATATGGAATATGTTCTTATCAGATTACATCATCCATTCATAGCTAAAATAAACTATACTGCATTGGAGGAAAATAATATAATACTCAAGAAAGATTATATAAAAGGACTTGTGAAGATCTCAAATGAATCAGCATTAGCTCTTATAGAAGCAAATCAGTGCATCCTTATAGTCCCTGCCAAAATTCAACCGCTGCTATCAAAACAAATCTATATGAATTTATTCAAGTGCTTACAGTAAATTTTAATAATTCACTGCAACTGTTTCCTCCTATATCAAACCATTGAAATCGGAATGTTTCAAATTCTTCCTGTTTTGTACAAGACTAAACCAAGATATATTTGAAAAAAGTTATTTAAAAGGTAATAGTTTAAAACTTAAATCTGTCCTTTAAATAATATTTTCATCAACTAAAATCTTTTCCACTACAGATAAATACTTTAGGTTTTTCTGTCTGCATTTCTTTCCTGTTGTTATTGCTAGGTTATCTTATTCAGCTAGGAAGAGCTTAACTGTGGGGTTTCCTTTCTTGCAATAATTTGCATAACCATTCTTTTAAGTGTTTATATTTTTACACTTAAATACTGAGTTTGTTTTTCTATGAGTATTCAGTAACTAAAATTACAACATATTTCTGTACTTAATACTTTTATATGTAATTAGACAGTGTATTTCAAACTGAAACACTAGGCAATTTTGAAAAATAGTTACACTTTCATATTCATACACATTTCTTGTTCTTATTTTTGCAATATTTTTTCTCCTTTCTGAGCATCCTCTCTAATACTTTAGGGCATATGCATAAACCATAGATATTTGCTTCCCTCAGCCCTAACAATTGAAGGACAGGACAATATGAAATATTGAATAATATGAATGATAATATGATAATATGAAATATCACAGAGTCCCTCTGTCTACAGGGGCAGTGCTCTGAACAAGGCTTTTGGCTGCATTCATAGCAAGAGAGGGGTTAGTATTTTAATCTGAGGGTGTCAGCAAAGAAAATCCTTATTTTTAAAGGCTTATCTCTTTATTCTTGCTTACTGGAAGTACTTACAGATTTTACATATTGGCAGATAACAGTTTTATGGTGGTGCAGCATGGGCTAAAGAGAAAGAAAAAAGAGGTTTGGGTGAAGCATCTGAAACAGTTTGCATGTATTAATACTTTTAACACAGACAGCAATTGTTGAATTTCATCTAACATATTGCCCATTCTTGAAAAGTTCTCCTAGAGCTCTTCACTTTCAACCTTTATTTTTATGACCTTGAATAATGTAATATAAAGTTTATCATCTCTCTATTCACCATTTTGTAAATATTCTTGAACTGCAGAACTCAGTGGACTTTCAGTCCTTGCTTTGTGAAAAACTGGCTTTTAATTCCAATATGTTGTTAGTCCACTTTCTACTAGTTATTTGTTCAAGGGAGCAGTGCCTGTCCAAAAACTTCTGGACAGCAATTTAAGCTTGCCTCTTCTGCATGTTGCCAGTGAATACTGAGAACAATTTTTTTTTTTTTTCCTGCCTGCATCACCACTTTGAGTTTATTTCTTTGAAAGAATGACTGGTCTTAGAAAGGGTTTTCCCTTTGATGAAAATATTTCCTCTCCCTATTCCCTTTTCTCTATGTATTTGACTGTTTTCTGATTGTTTATGTTGTGGAGAAAGCAATGGATTTGCTTCATCTACATTCTCCATTCTCTTTTATGCCCATAGCAGGGAATAACTCACACAGAAAAGTAATAGGTAATTATATTCCCTTATCGGACTTGAGGTTAACCAGCTCACAGTGAAGTCCCTAAAGAAAGAGAGCAGTTACCTAAATGAGTTCTGTATTTAATGTCTTCTTAGTCAGTCTCCCATTATGAGTGTATCTCAGGTTTTCCACAGCATCAGAGGAATACTGATCCATTTAACAATGCAATAGTCTATAAAGCAGCTGTCACAGCAGTAAAGACAACCATTTTAAAATCTAAGTTTGCATATGCTGATTTGAGTCATTAGTCTGTCAGCCCATTTTGTATGGTTTAGTAAGTATGACCTCAAGGTATCTTTAATTGGTGAGACTACAACTGCCCCTTACACTATGCTGCCTCTCAAGAGCTTGCACAGATGCTTCATTTAATTGCTGACCTTGCTTCCTTCTCTTTTGGCACTCTTCCTGTCTTAGGAGCCAAGGGAAGGAATTAAAGCTTTCAGGACCTCACATGTTTGGGTGGTACTTTCCATTCCCTGAATTTACCTTTTATTCCCTGGTAATGATGTTAGTCAGTAACTAATAGTGCAAAACTGCTAAACCAAACCAGTCTTACTTTATTTTCATTCTCAGTTGAGAAAATATCAGTAACAAAATACTGTGCATGGAATAGAGTTGATCAGTCATGCTGTCTTCCTGAAAAAGTAAACTACAAGCTTGAGAGAGAACAGGAAATTAACATGCATCTGTGAAAAGGTGTTATCCATTTTCACTGATCCAGAAAATATGCGTTGAATGGCTGAAGGAATGACAGAAAACATATCCTAGGGTTGTTTCCTCCCTGGCATCCTGCCCTTTTGCATCCAATTTAATGAGTACTATTTTCCTAAATTCTAATTCTTTGTTTCATTCATATCATTTTTAGTAAGTACTAATTTGCTAAAAAAAATTACACAGAATGTAGAATTTCTACACATCATTGGATAACTATGGAGTTCTGATGTATTCTGGGACATCCTTAGGGAACTAAAAAAATGCTATAGGATTTCATGAAGAAAGCATTATTATTAATACATTCATAATTTGGTCCCTGTTTGGTTTTAATCAGAACTGTATAGTTATAGTAGCATATTATATTAAATTAAAATCTCCAAGTTACTTCACATTATACTGCAGTGGGAAAATATTATCAATTTCATTAAATAGATTTTATTTTATTCATTAAAAAACTAAGTCGTTTGCTTGGGGTTTTTTTGGTGTATTACTTATTTATCAAATTTTCATTGTGACTTCAGGGACATCTTTTCAGTAATGCACATTTTATTTAGAACAGAACCATTTAGTTTTACTCCAGTGTAGGCTATTGCTAAACAGGACCAGACATAATGGGATACGTAATGGCAGGAATGTTGCAGGTACTCTCAGGGCCAGGCCTCTCTGAGTACAGTATCTCAAAATTCCATGTACAAAATAGGTTGAATGAAACCCTTGTACTTGCATGACCATATGTATATGCAAAAAAATATTTTTCCAATCACTAGCAAGAGAGAGTTTGTAGCCAAAACCCAGTTTGTCACAAGCAGCTGCAGTACCCAAGATAATGTTGCATCTGGTCTCATCAGACAAGCAGTACCTGGCCCTGCTAATACTAGGTTGGGAACTAAGATGTTTTGAGGAAAACAGTGATTGAGATGATATTGAGCATGGGACTGAAAGAATATTATTGCATAGCTTTAAAGCTAAATTTGCTTCCTCTGTATGAAATACCAAGAACATCCCCGGCAGTTACTCTTTTTGGTCCTGGTGGAAAGAAGAGAAAAAGAACTCCTAAGCCATTAAATCAGTGAAGAAAAAAAACCCTCACAATTTCTACAGTACATAAAAATTCAGCTGCTATGAGCAGAGTATGGTGGCTAAAAATGGTAAATGTAAATGATGGGTGCCATAAATTCCAGATGACTTTCAGAGCTTTTAATCTGGGCATTCATTCTTTCATGTTGATTTGTTGCTTGATTCAGTTCCATACCTTTGTCTCCTTCAAGTTCTTTACATCATCATCCCTCCATTTTTCCTATTTGCTTTCTATATTTTCATAGGCTTTTTATTTCTTTGTCTTCAGTTATTTTCTCCCTTTCTGTCTTACCCTAATCAAATTCCTTCTGTCCTGACCAAATTTTCACCTCAGGAAATAAACAAGTGCACAACTGCCAAAATAAAACAAAAAGAAGAAATCACGTGCTTCTGTGAGTGTGTCAATCTTCGGCATGATTTATTCATGTGACAATAAAAAACAGGCAGTCATATTTTTCTTTCTGTGGAAATAGTGTTGTGCTATTGACAATTAAAACTTAGAGAAATGGAAATCCAGTTCCTATATTTTTTTCCACTTATGATAAAGTGATATACAATCATACCCTTTAAAGAACATTCTTGTTAAAATATATTGAGCTCTTGGTAAGTGTGCATTTTTTTTAGTGGTGGCATAGACTTAAATTGATAAGCAGTACACAACCGCTAAAGAGTTAACATTTTCTACACAGTTTTGTTGCCTTCCAATAGTTCCACTGTAGTTGTGAAATGGCAGTAGAAGGTTGGCAAAGATTCTAATATGCTTTTTTCTTCAAGAAGTGCATCAGTGGATAAAATCAAATGGGTAGCTATTGGTTAAGTTTCTTTGGTGGAGGTATTTGGCAGACTAAAAGGGAGAGATAAGACACTTGTATACCAATAAAGGCATCTTATGAGTTTGAATAGTTTCTGATGGTTTGGACCAGATAGAATTAGAGTTAACCTGAAACAGCCTGACTCAGGGAAGAGTCTTGGACTCCCCGGTATGCTCCATTAACTAAGAAGTGACAAGAGTGAATGACACAGCACTGCAAATCGAGATAAATGTCTTTATTGTCAGAGACTTAACATTCTCCAATGCCATCTGAGCATTCAGAATAATCTCTCACCTGAGCCTCACTTAAGTATAAGAAGTTAAAAGGTACTGCCAATATAGCTTTGTATAAGCAAATAATCCAAACTGCTGTAATCTGAAATCCAGATGCACAGCATGATGTCTCAAGGGTTAGACATGTGTGCATATTTTTAATATGTATAAACACTTAAGCACTTATCTTATGTATCTATACCCGTTCACATTTGTACATCTATGTACAGAAATTATTTGTTATTTAACTGAACAAAAAGAGTGAAAAATCTAAAGGTAATTCTTCATAAAAGATGTATTATAGTAGTGCTAGATCTTCCTTTTTATTTGAGTCTTATCCTCTGATCTCCTAGTATAAAAATTTTTGAATTAGAGGATGATATTTGATAGCAAGTAAACCTTCCTAAACTTGTGCTATATAGCTGTGGCATTCAGAACTCCAGGAAGTACAATAAATTAACTAAAAACCATCATGAATCTTGCATGAGAAAGCAACCTTGACCATTGTGAGGCATTATGACTAATAAATAGTAGGTCTTGGAATCTGAAAATATACAAAATATACATTCCTTTATATCTTAATCTTAAAAGGAAATAAACAACAACATTCCAGAGGGGAGTCCTTTGAGGGCTGCAAGATGGATATTTATTCCAATGTGGCGACTCCTTCTGATCTCCTGCCAAAGCAGCCATCCCTGATGCCCTCATGTTGCTCAAAATCTTGCCACCTACACACATTACAAGTGAAATTTCAGAGATGTATTTAGATTTTCAAGCTTTTTGCAGCCATTAAAATTTGGACATGCAAGGAATCATAGAATCATAGAACATTTTGGCTTGGAAGGGACCTTAAAGATCATCTTCCACCCGCTGTGCCATGGGCAGGGAGAGTATCCACTAGACCAGATATCTCAAATCCCCATCCAACCTGGCCTTGAACACTTTCAGAAATGGGGCATTCAAAGCTTTCCTGTGGAATCTATGCCAGTACCCTCACAATAAAGTATTTCTTCCTAATATCTATCTAAATCTACCCTCTTTTAGTTTAAAAACTGCTCCTTGTCTTATCAATATATGTCCTTGTGACCAGTCCCTGCAGACTTCTTGTAGATCACCTTAGGAGAGTGGAAAGTGCTATAAGGTCTCCCTGGAGCCTGTTCTGCTCCAGTCTGAACAACCCCAACACCAGTCTGTTCTCATGGATGAGGGGTTCCAGCTCTCTGATCATCTTTTGTGGCCCTCCTCTGATCTTGCTTCAACAGGTTCATATCCTTCTTATGCTGGGGAACCCAGAGCTGGATGCAGCAGTCCAGGTGGGGTCTCAGGAGAGGGAGAAGAACACCTCCCTCACCTTGCTAGCCATACTACTTCTGATGCATGATTCTCAGGAATTGATTTGCTTTCTAGGCTGAAAACACATTGCCAACTCATACTGAGCCTCTTATGAAACGACACCCACAAGTCTATCTTCTCTGGGCTTCTCTCAATCCATTCTCTTCCAGACTGTATTTGAGCTTGGAATTGCTCCAACCCAGGTGCAGCACCTTGCACTTTGCCTTGTTCAGCTTCATGAAGTTCACATGGTCCCACCTCTGAAGTCTGTCAAAGTCCATCTGGTGGCATCGCTTCCCTCCAGCATGTCAACCAGACCATACACCTTGTGCCATCAGCAAACTTGCACTCAGTCCCACTCTCTGTATTGCTGAAAAAGATATTAAATGCCACTGGTGTCAATACTGATCCCTGAGGAACAATGACTTCAAATTGCATGGAATTATGATAACAGGAAGAACTGGAAGATGTATTCTCAGTCTTGTGTCCTCAGCCACAGTGAGCACAGTTTTCTTAAACTGAATGAAGCTCTACCAGTAGCACTATTCAATGGATGGTTCAGTGCTTTCAGAGATGGCCCAGTTTACCTGCAAGTACTTTTCCCAATATACAAAATTAGGAAGTCATGTTTAAAAATAAGAATCAACTTCTCCTTTATGAGCATTTCAGACTGAGCTTTTTCAGATTGAAAAATTGAGCAAATAATTCAGAATTGCTAGAATATGCACTTGATATGTGGGAAAGTCTGGTAAAAGCTCCAGCTCTAATTGCAGATGGAAGCTGATACATGACTATGGGCTATTTTTCAGTCTATGTCTTTCTTTCCTCTTTGTAGCAGTTCTACTTTTATCAAAGATATACACTTTTGTATGAATATAATCAAATAACAGGAGAAACATTATCACAAGGTACTAAGAAAATTTATGCATTTCCAGCACTCTGTTATGATTTTGGGTACATGCTACAATTGGTAAAATGCATTTTACTTCCTTCTTTACAATGTATACTCGTTTCACCTAAATTCTAAGGATAAAGAAGGTCTTGAGCCTGAGGAAAAATCATTTATTAGATTTTGTTCATTTAGTATTAAAAAAAAATGGAGAGTGACCAGAAAATTATATATAGGGAATGACCATTTTTAATGTCTGTAATCTTCAGAGACTTTGCCAGGCTACTGGCAGCAATATAGAATGCTTTGATGCAAGGCCATTATTAAAAATAGAGTTGTTGGAAACATTTGGTAGTGATTAGATTTTTACCAACATTTTAAGCCTAAATGAAGGAGAAAATAGAATAACAAGATGATCAACCCTGAGAAAGGATTTCTTCCTAAACTGAAATCATTAAACTCTGAAACTTACGTTTTCAAGGTCCTTCATTGTAATCCATTATCTTTCATTCCCCTTTGCACTACAAAATTGTCAGTGTGATGATATATTACACATAACAATGTCATTACATTGGCATAACATGACAACTGGGACTCATTTGAACTTTTAGAAATTTCTAATCCCTAAAATAAATTATGAACTGAAGACATTTTAGACATATAAAATAAGTCACTTGTTAGAAAGGATAGGGTTCTCCATACGTTTGGAGAATTGCACATTTCTGAGCCATTTTCTTTTTCCTTTTTCTTTTTCCTTTAATGCATATAATAAACTTACCAGGAAATATAATCCATAGATGTCCTTAGGCTTCTTGTCCTTAGGCTTACCGAAGTACTGGGTCCTCCCCAGTACTGGGGATTGTGATTGATGAGTTGTCATCTACATCAAATCTCACCACATTTTAATTACATTTCCTGGAATAAAAATAAGAAATTTGCCATAATTTTGATCAGAAAATATGTTAACTGACCCTTTAACTGCTCTTACTTTAATTTTTTTCTTACCTTTCAAAATTTCTGGGTACTCTATTTCTTCCTCCTCTGTTGAACTGTTTTGATTCTTGATTATGAGTATTTCAGTGAGACATAAAGCAGACGGGAAATAGTAGACCAAGGAGGTTGGGGTCAATTGAGACCAGATGTATTCAGCCTCATTGTTTCCAGTCTGCTCAGCACATGAGTATGCAAGCACAGCCTTTGAAATGCTGGCATGTAACCATAGTGCCTTCTGGTCAGTCATGACTTTTGGAACAGCAGCAATGGAAGATGCTTATCTTGAATCTTCTAGGCATATTCCCCTACTGAAGCAGAGCCTATTCAGACAAAATTTAGTTTCCAGGAAGAAATATCGAGGAAGGTTTATCTCTTTGTACTGCTAGTGAAGAAGGAATCCTGTTGATCAGCTTCACAAAGAAGACAGCTTAAGCTCTTGGAGCTTAAGCTTAAGCTTTTGGAGCAGTATCTTCAACAAGGATATCTTGTCTCTGGAGTTGTGCCTGGATGCTTTCTGACATTCAGAAGGCTGAGGGTGTTTATCAGATTTTTGTATGTTTTGAAAGCTGTTTGGAACTTGCTGGTTGCATGCAGTAGTCTGTTTTGGGACAGCACTTGAACGTGTTTGTGTAGCTTCTACCACATTTATTCTCTTCTGAGAAAAAGTGGTCAATGGGTTTCATAATTGTGGCCAACTTCATGTTAATATTCAGGTGTTTTGGTTTATAGGAGATTGAAAACTGAACATGAAGCTGGAAGTGCAATGGTAGATATTTTTAAGGTACTCTGCAGCTAGAATTCTGATGCAAACAGTGTGCCTGTTTCTCTTACATGTTACTTTTAATGAAGCATGCTGTGTATGTGTCTTGTACTGGAACATAAACATAACTAACAGCTCTATCAGGAAGTGTGTGCTCTCTGCACATTATAATAATGTGATATAAATGAAAGCCAATTATATTCCAAATGGCTGTGACTGTACCTCATACCAGGTTTAGGGTTTATTTTTAAATTTTTAATATTAGAATTCTTGCTCTGTAGTGTATTGTAAAGTTCAGCAGACATAAGGAAGATTCAGATTTTTAGTCTCTTCGCTTTATGAATAAATATAAAATGTGTGTTCGTTTTGCAGCTAGTATTTTAAAGCTTCTCACAGATTTGCATGATGATTCAGCTCAGCTTTACAATTTTGCTGAATTAGCACAGTTAGTAAGGAAATAGCTCTTGTTTCAATCAAACCCCACAGTCTTTCAGATTTCCAGATCTGCTAGAAGTAGCTGTAATATGTGAAAAAAATGTGAAAATGAGTAGTTTTACAGATACCTTCAGTTTTGAAATTAGTTACCTGGTGCTAGAATAGTTTCAGTCTACTCTGCCTATAGGCTGTCTGTCCTGCAGAAATATTTCCACAGAGAAACCAGATTCTGTGTATTCTCTTCTAATGTTTTACTTACGTGTTACTTTTTGGCAGGTAGCAGCCCATATGTTGAGGTATTCATTTTCACTTGAGAAAAAAGTTTGGCTTCAGGTATTAATTTTCATTTTCACTTGAGAAGGGATGATCCTAGTATTGCTCTGATGGTTTAGCACACACTTTGTGCTGATACATTGCCTACTTCACAGTTTAAGGGATATGTGAACAGATGCTCCAGATGATAGCCTGAAGTATAATGAGGTCTTGTCAGAGTAGGTTGTTATAGAAATAAATGCATTATATAAAGTGTTTCTTCCATTTCATATTATTTGAAACTGAAATGAAAAATGTTATTCCAATAGTATTCTGTTAGAATTAAATATTTTCAAAGTAGACAGCAAAGCATAAAAATCTTTTTTCTTCAAATGCCTGAACAAAAAGAACCCCATGGATTCTTTTTAAATGTAAATGTTGGTACATGCAAACAGAAAAGAAGGGTATGTAGAAGGAATAACAGTGTGGAAGATTGTGGGGAAAACTGTTCCAAATTAACATCAGGTTGCATGAGTTTGACTGAACTAGAAGGACATTTCCTTGTGGTGAGACTAAAAAAAATCTTTCAGTACCACTTTGCAGGGGTCTAAACTTAAGTTTCTGTGTTTTGAAGAGCAAAAAGTAAACAGATTTATACATGTAAAGACAATATTTTCTTATATTTGGCAAAAATTCATACAGAGCTGTAATTATTTGAAGTTGAAAAGAAGTATTATAATTTCCTAACTCTCTCAACAATCAGTATTGAAATACACACTCTCTAATGAGTATTTCAAATTCACTATTTTGCTTCAATTCCACCCATAAGATTAAGAACAGTTTTGATGGTCTTGGTCATCTATTTAACAACAGGGTTTAGAATAATTTCTGTAAGGAGAGATTGTTCTCAGCCCCAAATAGAAGAGCTGGACATTTAGATGGAAATAGCCCATTATTTATATTTTCAGGTTTATCTCAAAACATATGCTGTAATTAGATACTTAAAGACAAGGCTAAGATATTTAAGATATAAAGACAAGGCTAAGATACTTAAGATATTAAGTATCTAATTTACAGTACTAAGTAAATTTTAAGTATCTATTTTTTTTAAGTACTTTAAAACAACACAATCAGTACATGAGTTATTCCTGTTAGTAAAAGACAAACGTCTTAATATTGAAAGCTCTTCTAGACTGCAGTATAGTGATGTGTAACCTGCTGATTCAGAGACCAGTTGTCTCTGTAACACACCTTCCATACCCTTGAATTGGTCCTAGGTCCTTGAACTGGTTTAAATCTCTGAAATGGGGGTTGAGGTGAAAAAATTAAACAAATTTTTATACACACACCCACACACAGGCATACATACACACACACATATATATACTAAACCAGCAAGTATTTCCTTTAATTTTCCTGTCACCTATCAGATGATTTACAGGTTTTCCTCAAAAATCATATAAATATGTAGTTAAATGTTTGAGCAGCCTCACTGGACGTGGGAAATGAATTCATGTTTGCAAAATTTCTGGGTGCAGCATGAGAACATACAGACCTTGAGGTTTGAAATCAAATCAGATAAAACATCATATTGTCTTATTTAGTTAGAGCTACTGGCTCTCTTTGAAGGTACTAATTTTAAAACTTTAAAGGTTCATATGATAGCTTCATAAAAATAGCTTGCTAACCCTGTTTTTCTGTGACTACATCTTCTTAAAAGAAAGCTTGAAAGTTAATGTTTAAAATACTATAAATGGCATTTAATTGTGCACATTTTACTGAATAATTTATTAGTGCTAAGTCCCCTCCCCTAACTAACTTCAAAGCCAAAATGGCAAGGACTTTTATGTAGGGTGTTTTTTAGAGCTAAAAGGTCCATCATCTCTTCTTCAGCTTCCCCTGGAAATCTGACCTTTTAGGTTGCAAACAGGGTGGATGACAATATTATTAGGTAGTGAACAGTATTTGAGATCTATAACTGTTTTTATAAACACATTCAATTTGCTGTTGTATTCTTGCAACCACCTGCATACAATAAAAATAAAAATTGGAAATAACTTTTAAAAAGAGCATACGATAAAGAAGTGCTGTAACTTTTTTCTGTTTGACTTTGAGGAGATGTTAAGTAGATGGCTTGCACAGCCAATCCTGTTTGCCAGATTTACCAGGTAAGCTAAAGAAAAATATATATTAAAGACTGTGACTTTGGATGGTATAACCTTATATAGCATTTAATCTTACATCAGAAATTCTTATTTGAAGGCCTAGATTTCTCCTTAATGATGCTTCTATGAGTTTAAATCAGTCTTTACTCTGCATGCAATTAATTCAATTTTGTACTGAATGCTTGTGATCAACTTTTTTTTTTTTTCTGAATTTTGTTAGCATTCCTTAGATATTCACATTATCCAAGTTAATCCTCCCTTTCCCCTTTCTTCCTCTTAAAAAAAATCATGAATTCTCCTATGATCATGCTTTGTAGACAAGAAGAGTGAAAGAGGTTTTTGGATGCTGGGGATTTGTTTTGATTTGTTTTTGTTCTGGAGTGCCAGAAACCAGTAGGTTGCAGCCAGTCAGACTGTATTCCATTACACAATTACCCTGAGAATCTTAAGAGCCCACTGGGGACCTAAGAGCACTCAGTGAAAGAATCATGTTGAGTTGTGCTGTGGCAGCAAAAAGGAATAAAAGATGCTTTGAATGTTGTAAAGTTAAATTGATCCCTACAGTGACAAGTGACAGCAATAGATAAGGTCACTTAAATTTTACCCTTTTACTGAGCACTGAGTATTTGACCCAAGGTGAATCACCCTTCCTCTTTATGCAAACTATAGCTAAATTTGATCTGGGTAATGGAGACACTGACACATCCATGGTGACAGAGGCCAGTCTTTTCACCTTTTTACATGTGTACTTCTCAAGTAGCATCCACCTAGAATTGCAAATGCTTCTAAGAATATCTTTTTTCAGTTATGTCAAAAGCACGCTAAAATTTCTTAGGTAGCCATCTGTGAATATGTGTCAAAATCCATATTTATTTTAAATAAGGATGAAGGACTTTGTGGACTAGGTGCTAGATTTCATGAAAACTGTCCAGGGAAACATGTGCAAGTATTTTATCAATATATTTCTTACACAGAATTAAATACTGCCAGTTATAATTTATATTGTAGAAAACCCCAGCTAATGCTTTTCAGGAGCTAACACTTGTTTTTTTGTTTAGGCTACAATTGATCTCTTGAACGCTTTTGATTTTTCATAATCAATTTACAAGACATGAACCAAATATTAAAATTGTAGTCTATTGAATAGCTGAACAGATTGCAAGGGAAAAAAAATTAAAAGTCTGTGCCATTAAAAATGTTGTGAAAGAAGTTTAATTAATTTTAAGCTTAAAATACTTTTGAAAGATCAGAAACATTCCTGATTTTCACTTAATTCATCATTATGAGCCATACTTTGTAAAATATTTTACAGCTAAACTTTGTGCATATCTTGAACTCCTTATTCAGCCTTGCCAAATTGTGACTGTTGGTAGCCTGTAGTAAATTCTGTGTCCCCAGTCCTGGAAGCTATTTGAATTCTTAATGCTTATTGATTTCATTGAAGGTTATTCTGTGACTAGAGTATGCTTATAGAAAAGCCATGTTGTTAAAGAAAAATTGAACTCCCCTACATTTTTTTTTAGAAGTAGTATACACAATATTTTATGCCCAGTTTAGTAAGTCCAGAGACAGTTTGTGAAACTCACAGCTGTTCATCAGTAGTTGGAATGTTTCAGTTGTTAATATATTTTGAGGTAGAGTTAAAATAAGTATAGGTAACCAGGCATAGTTTTTATTCTGACTCTTAATCTTTCTGTATAGCTATGTATACTACTTTAAGCAAGTGCATTTGTGTTTTATGCATTTGAGGAGCCTATCCTGCCTTTATGTCAAAATGTCATGTGCTGAACAATTGTAACATGCAAGCTTCTAAAATGTACCCCTAAATAAATATATTAATTAATATTTTATGCTTTGCATTATGATCTTCAAATATGTATTTAAAAGTAGGCCAGTAAATCTTCATTTTATTGAAGCAGCACACCATATGATATCATAAAAGTTGCACAAAGAATGGCCACAAAAATCTCTTACTCTTTAACAACCTCAACATGTTTCTTCTGCATGTTTCACGGCTCTGTAAGTTCTGTCATTTACCACAGTAGTTTCCACTAGGAAATTAGGTTAAAAAAGCTATATCTGATATAAAACAAAGAATTTATTTGCTAATATGAATATGCAGTTTTTCTGAAAAGCATCATATAAAAGTAGTGTTTTAATCATGTAGAAGTTTCTTTACTGTTTTCATTGATGAAGGACATTCACATTTGACTCTTTTTAACTTTTTCTTGTCATCATTAACAATTAAAAAACTTCCATCTTTTATTTTTGAATGCATAAGTAAATAATTAATAAGTTAAAACTCAAACATAAACTTCAGAACTGCACACAAATGTTCAAAAATATTTTTAAATTACTTGTGACTTTTGCAATAGGGTAATCTAATCACTGTTCCAAAAATGTCACAATCACAATAGTCTGTAGGACTTATTGAAACTATGTAGAGAATTAAAGTGTTTGTCATAAATATATGTGCTACATGTAAAATGGTAACTATTGGTTCCTCTGTTTTATGCACACATATATCCTGCTTATGAAGATTTTTTGCTTCCTTTTGTTTGCTCTGTTTTGTTTGTTGTATTTGGTTGTTTTGTTTTGGGGAGCATGTGACTATAGACCTGCTTAGTACTTTCTGACTAAGTAGATTGAACATACAGTAGAAAAACAAAATGTTTTTATTTATGAGTTTACATTTTTCTGTTAAGAACAGTTAAGCAACACAACATACGATTTGGACAGTGTTTTAAATTACAGAATTTGAGAAATAATATGAAAATCCTTTCCTTATATAATATGTCACAAGTATCAGGATCTATCTTGATTGTTTAAAGAAGGCTAATGCAGAATGGATACTGAATTTAGGAAAATATTTCTTAGTATAAACATTGTGATGTGGCTAAAGGAAATGGTGATTCACTTTATGACAGGATTATTTAAATTTGTGTAAAATGCTTTTGAGGCACATTTTATATTTATCTCAACTTAAAAGTGAAACTCTATTTTGTGTATAACAAATAATGTGAAGATAAACACAATAATTCAGTGTTGATGTACATGTGTGTAGAAAGTTTTCCAAGTATATGAAGCTGTCTAAGGAATGCTCATTTTCCATTATTCAAGTAGGAGGGGAAAAAGTCTTATGAAAGTTAAGCAATTAGTTTTTCAAAGACTATTATTAAATCCTGTACTAGGACTAGCATGTAGCTGTAATGAGAATCCTTAATAAATTATCTTTGGAGATTTAAGACAGGAAAAATACTCAAGACCACTAGCAGGAAGACTTTACTTAAGCTTTAACCATCTTCTTTCAGGTGTTTCCCATCCCTGCACTTCATTTGTATGCCAACTTCTCTTTCTATGTTCTCTTTTTGTCTTTGCTTTGCATCTTTTGAATACCTCAGCTTTGTCCATCTCAAAGTTCACCTAGTCATTTCTTCTGATTAACTTCTGTTTACAGTGATCAAAGATAAATCCTTGCCAATAATTATTTGTAGCAATTATCTGTAAAAGTAGTTTTGTCACATGGGAAGTGTTGAAATAATGCTCTTTTGTCCTCATTCTCTTCAAAAGTGAAAATATATAACCCCCTTTCTTTTGATGGAGAATTATTTCAAAAATACCTTTGTATACATTAGAATAACTAGCTTGAATAACATTAATATAAAACTGTATGTTCATCAGGTATTTCTGATGACTTTTGAAGGCATTGGGTAATTGTCTCATTTATCTCATTTTCCTTTATACTTCCTGCTTTCTTTTGCCCCAACTAAATGGGTAGATTACACTGAACACATGCCGATTTTTCATTTCACCCTGCTTTTCTAGTGGGAAATAGTCTGCAGAAAACCCCCTTCAAAAACCTCTTTCAAATAATTGGTTTGGATGAAACAGCTTTTTCTTTGAGGGGAACATTCCATGAATGTAACGTAGTTACACTGTATGGAAATTCCTGTGGAGATTAAAAAAGAAAATAGATTCTCAAGTCTGGTTATGGCCCTTTGGCTCCACTGAGACTGAGTAAATGACTTTATCCAACCATAAATAACCAGAGGAACATTTTCCTGCAGGCGCATCTGTGCCACTGATGAGCCATTAGTTTTTCCCCTTCGGGTCCTGTGCTAGTAAGAAGCATGTTGAGAGTGATGTAGCTGACCTTCATCACTCCAGATGAATCCTGTAGTGGCACTGGCTTCATTAAAGACCAGTGTCACTAGCATTGCAGTGGCCATGGAGCAGACTGTCAGATGAGGAATATCTGCTCTCTAAAGACCATCATCATTTACACTGAGTGAAAACTGTTGAATCGTAGCTTAATTCTGAATCCTTCTATGTGCAAGAGTTTGTGGCCCAGCCTGTAAGTGCAGTTAATTCAGTACTTACTTGCTCAGGACATTCTCAGTAAGGAAATCTACCACTTAAATATTACTCCATGAATACCTGAAGAAAGCTAGTTACATTTATTAGCAAAGACTGCTGCCTAATGGGGAGAATGAGGTTTTTTTTATCAAAGAAATCTTCAGATGAAAATGGCACTTATGCCTTTGGCTGCTGCATATGAGATTAATTCTGTCCACTTACTTTTCTAAAAGCTTTCTGTCCTTCCAAAACTCTGATGCAGAGCAGAATATGCTGAAAGACTGTGCCATGTGGCTCACAGCCCAATTCACTGTTGTTCCTTTTTGCCCTGTCACAGTACTGAAACAGTCCTCTCCCAGACAAATGAAACCATCTATCAGCATGATTGATTGTGAAGTTCCCCAAATAATAATTTTTTTTTTAAATTTTTTTTTGTTTTGCTAACTTAGGAACCCTATTAATGGAGTTCTAGATTAATCTGAAGGACTTTGCTGATAGATTTTGCTTAGCAGTCTTCATTCTCCAGCCTTCCTGAACTTTGTCAGTTGTGCATTTTGCAATGGTATTTCAGAATCTGGACACTTAAGCTATCCTCCTTCTGCTCAAAGTGAGGGCAAAACCAGTTAATAATTTTGAAAGCTGAATTCCATAATATTGCCTGATCTTTTTGTCATTTGACCACTATCAAAAGAGCCTAGAAGTCAAGAACCTTCTAGGCTATCAAGACTTTCTCTAATCAACTGAATTTTTCTCAACTAGATTGTCTTTGAAGATTCTTGGTGAATCAGGTTAGGTTAGAACATGTAGTAGCTCTTCAGCAATAGTGTAGTAATAAACCTTATTTTCACCAAACGTTAAAAGAGCCCTCTAATTGTTGTCTCTGAGAATAAATTACCTCAGAACTAAAGCTCTGCAACTACAGAAATTTTGGCTGTTTTCTTGGGGGAGAAGGTTAATCAGCCTCATAGGATTCTGCAAATCCGTTTTTGTTTGAAGAACAGAAAAATAAATATAAAAATATAAAAGTCAGATGAGCCAAGAGCAGCCCTGGGAAATAGTTTTGTACCAAGGCAAAGGGTGTGAAAGAGAGAGATGGTTCAGGGTTCTTTCAGAGTCTTGGTAAGAAATATCTGACAACCAATGGCTCAATAAAATAACTGTTTTAATAAGATAGATTAAAAAGAGGAATGCAGATAGCATGTAAATCTTGTATCCTTCCAGAGGCTGGGACCCCTGCTTTCATGCAGTATTGGATTGACCCCAAAAGTGTTTTTGCATTACACACTGTGCAGATCTTGTCTGTGGATGCAAATCCCCTTTTTGGTCATTCAAGCAATTATATAAATCACTAACTATTTGACATACAACGTTTTTCCAGCCTGCATTACTAGAGAGATACTTTGTTAAGATCTAGTACTGTCAGGAGCAAACTAGAAGCACCAGAAGGAAGCATATTGCTCAATACAAACTGGGAGAATTAGGTTTTCTGAAACATGGGTGTTCACATCAAAAAGCTACAGCATACAGGGAAAGAAGTGTTTTATAGATTGTTGAAGATTCTATGCATGAGGAGAAAAGCAGTCTTGAATTCCCTGTGGTCCAATTACTAAGAGGTTGTTAAAGTAGGGTGTGATTCTTTTAGAGGTAATGACAAAACTCCCATGATTTATATGTGAAGTAAAATTTTTATAGAAAAGGCTGACTAGCACTTCCAAAACCCCATATTTCTTAAGCTTAAATGCTTCTAGAATTTCTCAATAAAATCTGTTGCAGAGAGATTCTTTGCTAATGCCTGTTCTATTAGCAAATATGCAAATATGTCCTAGAAAGCAGGTGAACA